CCCCCCCCCCCCTCCCCCCCCCTCCCCCCCCCCCCCCCCCCGTCCCCTCTCTCTCCCCTCTCCATTTCCACCCCTCACTCACATTTTGGGGTTCAGGGCTCCAGGACAGTCGGTGCCCAGGTCCGTGTCCGGCTGTGGCTGTGCCGGGTGTGCGACAGCGGGGCCCTGCCCTCACTCCTCGAGGGGTCCCTGCAATTCCACACCGAAACCGTGAGTGTGACACCACCCTGGGACCACCCAAACCCCCTGAGGGAACCTCCAAACCCTCCCCAACCCTGCTGTGTTTTTTGTCCCCCCAGTACGAAAACCAGACAAGGCTTCCGGGGAAATGGGTGCCCTGGAAGCTGTTGGGGCGTCCCCCCTTCTCCGATGGCATGGGCAGGGAGGGGCTCCCTCCGGGAAAGATCCAGCCTCCCAAGGGATGGCGCTGGGAGGGGCCCTGGAACGTGGAGCTGCAGCCGAGGTGGATGAGGGGGTTTTGACGAGATAGGAGAGGGTTTGGGGGGGATGTTGGGGCGGATATGGGGGGATTTAAGGGGGTTTGGGGGTTATAGGTGGGTTTGAGGGGAATACAGGAGGGTTTGAGGGGGGGGTTGGGAGGGTTTGGCTGGGATACAAGGGGGTTTTGGGAGGATATGGGGGGATTTGAATGGGTTTGGGGGGATAGAAAAGGGTTTGGGAGAGTTTGGGGAGGATATGAGGGGATTTAAGGGGGCCATGGGGGGTTACAGGTGGGTTTGATGGGAATACAGGAGGTTTTGAGAGGGGTTTGAAGAGGGTTTGTGTGGGATACGAGAGGGTTTAGGGAGGATATGGGGGGACTTGAGGGGGTCAGGGGTAGTTTGGGGATATGGGGGGATTTGAGGAGGATACAAGGGGGCTTGAGGGGGGCTTGAGGGGGTTTTGGGTGGATATGATGGAGGATTTGAGGGGGTTTGGGGGGGGTAGAGGGGGGGTTGGAAGGGGGGGCAGGGGGTTGGGGGGGGGTGGGGAGGGATTTGAGGGGATTGTAGAGGGTTACAGGGGTTTGAAGGGTGTTTGGGGGCATACAGGGGGGTTTGAAGGGTGTTTGGGAGCATACAGGAGGGTTTGGGGAGGATATGGGAGGGTTTCAGGGCGTTTGGAAGGGATACAGGAAGATTTGTGGAGGATATTGGGAGTCTGCAGGGAGTTTGGGGGGATACGGGGTTTTGAGGAAGATATGGGGGCTTGAGGGGGATTTGAGGGGGTTTAGAGGGAATACAGGAGGATTTGAGGGGGATACAAGGGGAAAGCCACCCACCTGCCACCACGGGGACCTGGGTGGCACCAGCGCTGTCCCCTTGTCCCCAGGGAGATGCTGGACACAGGCAGTGCCGTGTGTGAGATGCTGCAGGAGCTGAACGGGAACCAGATCCAGAGGAGCCGCTCCAACGGGACCACCTCGGATACTGTGAGTGAGGAGGGGGGAGGAGGGAGCAGGATAGGGGGATGGCAGGATGAGGGGTCAGGAAGGGGGGTGTCGGGGATGAGGATGATGGGGATGGGGGTAACAGGGACAGAGGGGAATGGAGGTGGCAGGTTGGGGGTGATGGGGACAGGAGGAGGGAATGGGGATGGCAAGATGGGCTGATAGAGATTGTGGTGTCACCATGTCATGGTGTCCCCATGTTACTGTCCCATGTCCCTGCTGTCCTATCCTTCCCCAGGACCCTGGAGCAGTGTCAGAGGACGAGCCCTGGCAGTCGGAGTGTTTCTGGCCCTTCCCCTTCCGTCCCAAACCTCCAAGGGGTGTCCTGGGGGGGGCCCTGTGCCGGCGGCGCCGCTGGCACCGTGGCTTGGTGCTTGCCCAGCCCACGGCCGTGGCACCCCTGTTCCTGCTGCAGGGAGTCCCAGTAGGAAAGAGGGGGGGGAGGGGTCTGGGTGGAAGGGGGGAATGGCGAAGAAGGGGTGGAAAATGGGGGAGAGAAGGGATAGATGAGGGATGAGGCACAAATGGAGGGATGGGAGCAGAGGAATGGATGAAGGATAGAGCATGGAGGGATGGAGAGATGGAGGCAGGGATGGGAGGAGGGATGGAAGGATAGGGGGCAAAGGCATGGCTGAGAGATGGGGAGATGGAGGGAGGGAAGGAAGGATGGATAAGGGATGGGAAATGGATAGAGGGATGGCAGGAGGGATGGAAGGATGGGGGGGTTCGATGGAGAGATGTGGAGAGTGATGGAGGAGGGAGGGAAGAGGGAGGGAGAAAGGGAAGAAGGGGGGCAGTGGGATGAATGAGGGATAGGGCACGGATAGAGGGATGAGGGAGGGATGGAAGGATGGGGAGGGCAGGGATGGAAGTGATGTGGAGATGGGCCATGATAGGACTGCAGAACACAAGACAGCAGATGCAGGACCAGAGGACAACAGGGCCAGAGGGGCCCCCACCCCACACCCCATATGCCTCACCTCCCATCCCTTCCTGCCGCAGGACACGGAGGAAACGCCCCCCGTGGCACCGCTGGAACCCTGGGGGTCGCGGCCCCCCCTGGAGCAGCCCCCGCCCTTCATTCTCTGCACCTTCCCCTG